AAAAAAATTTTGAGTCCTAAAAATAGTGTATTTTGCAACACATTATTTGGACCGTCGATTTTCAAAATTTCAAGTGTTTATAGATCCACTTAATTTGAACTATTTTTGGAGTTTAAAATTTTAAAATTAGATATTAAAATAGATTCTCAAGCCATCCTATAAATTTTTTATACCAAAATTATATTTATGATAAAATTAGGAGGTGCACCTTAATTTGATTGTTCAAGGTTGTAACCTTATATATATATAACAAAGGCTCTAAACAATCGAATTAGAGCCTACCTCAAAATTTTTATTAGAAGAGGTTGTTTGGATGCCCAAAAGTCCTCAAATTAATCATCTTGACATCAAGATGTATAGGCATCATAAAAATGGATTTCAAGTTTTAGAAATAGTGCATCTTGCAATGAATTTTTGGACCGTCAATTTTCAAGTTTTCATAGATTTGCTCGATCTACACTATATTTTAAGCTTTAAATTTTATAATTAATGGTTGAAAATATATTTTAGGGCCATCACAAAGATTTCTAGTATTGAAACCACATTTCTCGACACTATTTGAAGATGGGCTCTACTTTGATTATTTAGAGCGTTGGCTCTATACAAATTGCGCCCATATATATATATATATATATAGAGAGAGAGAAAGAGAGAGAGACAGAGAAAAAAAAAAAAATTTTTTTAACGTCTATAGGCAAAAATGAATAATGATTTCACTTATGCTCATACCGTCCAAAGTTCATCGTATGGTCACAATTTTTTGGTAGTGTTTTATTTTTTATTTTTTTTATTATAAATCAGAATGATCTAAAATTTGGAGTGTACTTACATATTATAAGGCTCACCTAATAAAAATATGAAAATAATATTTTATAAAATATAAATAGACTCTCTCTCTCTCTAGCATAATATCCACAAATATTTGCAAATGGGTATCAACTCTTGAAACACTTCCCTTCTAAGACAAATCTCTACTCAAGTAAGAGAGAAAAACAAGAACCCATCCAAATAAAGGAAGGGATACAAGCGATGCAAGATGAGTTTCCCTCTAACAAAGAGAGAGAAGATAGAAAATAGTGCATGAACTAGAAAACCCAACTTCAATTCGTTACAATATGATTCCCTTGAGAAAAGAGAGAGAAATTGTTAGGACCAGTTTGGATCGAAGGAAATTAGGAATTTTGGATATTTGAAATCCAAAAAAATTTATGGATATTTAAAAATCTATTTAAAAGTTGATATAGTTATTATCTCTAAAATTTTAACATACTCTCTCTCTCTAAAACTTAAAATTTAAAATAACTTCTCTCTCTAAAGGTTTTGAGATATTCCTTTTTAAAAAGTCTTAAGTAGTTCCTCTCTCTAAAATTTAATATAGCTCCTCTCTCTAAATTTTTATAATACTTTCTTTCTCTAAAATTTAAGATTTGAGATAGTTTTTCTCTCTAAAAAAAGTTATGTATTTTCTCTCTCTAAAAAAATTTCATGTACTTTTTCTCTCAAAAACTTGATATAGTTTCCTTCTCTAAAATTTTAATATGTCTGCTCTCTCTAAAATATGTTATAGTTTTCCGCTCTAAAATTTTATTACGTTCTCTAAAATTTGATGTAGTATCCCTCTCAAAAAATTTAATATGTTGTTGTTCTTCAATAGCAGATGGCATAAGTTCTCAACGCCGCTAGAGTTTCATTTTCATTCACATCTGAAAGGTCCTAAAGTCGTTAGGGTTGGAGAAGCTGATGGGCATGAAAACATTTATTCAATCTAACTTACCACACAAATGGAAAAGTCCTCGGTCCCTAGGGCTGGAGAAGCTTACGAACCTCAAAACATTTATTCAATATAACTTACTGTTGGGTAGCGATTGGTCCGTAAAAAAATGGTTCGTTTCCATGAAATGTCATTTCCACTTATTTTGATCGAATTGAGATTTCCAAACTTTAGGCTTAAATGAGCATCCAGGAATCCCACATAAATCTCAATTCCAACGGAAATATCAATTCTAAGCGAACCAAACACGATTGGTCTGTCCTTTTCTAGAAAAAATAACTCCTAAAAATCTGAATCCAATGAGCATTTTCTAGCAAAAGTGTTCTAGAAATCCAACTAACCATTTCTAAAAAAAGTGACTCCTAGAAATATGAATCCAAGTAACCAAACGGGCCCAAAAAGCCACTTTTCCCATATAGTGATCGAAATACACACACATGTTTTCCTCTTTCATCCCAAATATATAAAGTTAGAAATCCAGACTAAATAGGGGACTTCTTATAGATGTTACATATATCGTAAAATCAAAAGATATATCTTAGAGTCTTAATCTTTTGGATTTTTATCTTTTTAAAAAACCCCTATCAATAGCAATATCAATATTACTCCCACATAATATGAAATGTTGGGTGATTTCAGATCTCACCACATCCAACATATAGCACTGGAAGAACAAAGCTCAAGACTTTCATAACCCTAATTCCTAACCAACATGCGGATTCAACTAGAAATATCACAAAAATGACATCATGATGTGTTTGGGTTTCCTCGATCTAAAAAACGCATTGCAGAGAGAAATATTGGGAATGGTTTAAATTTTTTTGGAACTCTTTCTTTTCGATATTGAAGCAAATTTGTGTTGTATTAGCAGTGAAAAAGAGAAATTGGTGTCAAGTTGAACTCATCCAAACTATATATATGATACAAATATGTAAATAAGGCCCCCTACATGATGCAATTCCATAATGTATTACAAGATGTATTATTTTAAGGTCTTGAGATCTTTCTTCCTTCATATCCATACATCTTGAAGTTAAGAAGATCAATTGAAAGATTTTTCAACAGTAAAGTAGCTTTTTATGATAAATATTTTCGGTAAATTCCATTTCTAGTGGATAAAATTAGGGCTTCATAAACTTTATCTCATTATTCCTAGGATTTGTGTATAATTCTGGTTGTAACATGTTGTATTTTACTTTGGAAAATACATTGTCTTATTTCAAAATAACATCTTGTTTTTAGCATAGTATTTGAAATACATAATGTATGAAAATGTGTTTTATCTTATTTCTAGAAAGAGAAGTTATGTGTCATTTATACGGTATTGATGATATGCATGAAAGAAATCTTATTTAAATATGTGGATATCAACTGCACTTGTGTTTCGAAAACCTAAACGAGAAAAGACTTACACAAAACACAACAAACATGCCCATGTGCGTGTGCCTCTTTGCATTTGGCTCAACAGCGCGCTCACGCTCATGCTCATGCTCGTGTGCGAGAGGCGCTTAATGATACTGTTTACACTTGGCTCAAGCATGGTCTCAAATCTTGAGACACATTCTCTCTCTTTGTGAAAGAGAATATTGGATAGGAATTTACCGAGTCTTTTGAGAGAACTTTCTCAAGAAAGACCCACTCCTCCCTCTAAATTTGTTTTAGAGATAAATTTTGGATTCAAAATTTTAGGAAAAAAAAGGCTCAACATCTTTAGCATACTTTTATCATCCATCTCCAAAAAGGACGTTACATGCTTCATCAGAGGACGCTATTATTTAAGTGCATCCGTAAACCACTTTTCCTTCAAAAACCAAAATCTTAACCATTTAAGAAGGGGAAAAGTTTATATAGAGCCAAGGCTCTAAACAATCAAATTTGAACCTATCTAAAAAATTTCATTAAAAGAGATTGTTTTGATGCTCAAATATCTTTAAATTGATCATCTCGATATCAATAAGCATGGATATGAGAGAAAAAAATAGATTTCAAGTTTTGAAAATAGTGTATTTTGTAAGGTATTTTTGGACCATCAATTTTTAATATTTTCAAGTTTTCATAGATCTATCGATCTACACTATTTTTGAAGCTTTAAACTTTATAAATAAATATAAAAAGATGCCACAAAGATTTCCACTATTGAAACCACATTTCTCAATATCATTTGAAGGTATGCTCTAATTTGATTGTTTAGAGCCTAAGCTCTATACAAACCGCATCCCTTAAAGAAGTTAGAAAGGTATTAACTTAGTTATTTTTTCCTCTATACATTTCTTGTAATATTCTTTCATTAATAAAACTGAAAAGTGTTTCATGCATAATTTCATTTCTACAATATGCGGTCCAGAGGTATAAAACATCCATTTTAAAAATGAACGCAAATAGGTAGTCCATCTAAAAACAAGTGAAAATAACTATCCAAATGTTTTCTTCATAAAATAATTATTTTTATTATTTAAAATTTATTTATTTTTTATATTCCTGATCTCCATGTTAGATATTAAATGTCTTAAAAAAATTAAGTCCAAAAATCCATATAAAAAATAGGTATTTAAGAGTCTAACTCATTTCTACATGGATTGATAGAAGCCGTGTCCTTAATTAAAATCATGTTCTCTTGTGAAAAAAAACAAACAAAAAAAAAATAGAAAAGGGCTAGACTAAACAATGCAAGTCCTCCAAGAATAGGGATATGCTGGCAATTTCCGGAGAAATCGGGGTCAACCGTCAAAGTTTAGTTTATTCCTTTATTTTTTACACCCAATATAATATGAGGCGCGTCGGTGGATAAAACGCAGTCTTAGCTGGCTCTAACTTTTCTACTACGTTCCCTCTCTCTCTCTCTCTCTGTCTCTCTCTTTCTCTTTCTTCTGTAAAAATAATCAAACACTTTTCTCGCCCTGCGCTTTATTTTGCTTCGTGAATTGGCTTTTTGTCATTTATATCGATACAGACACAGAGAGAGTTCTTCCTCACACACCCATCCTGCGAATTTAAATCGATTCATCAGCCATGTCTTACGCTTACCTCTTCAAATATATAATCATTGGAGACACAGGTTTGTTCTGCAACTTTCTTTCTTAGGGTTTTGAAATTTGAATTTTGGGGGTTTTGACCCTGGTGATGAATTTAGAGGTGGAGGAATGGGATTTGAAGTGAGATAATGGATTTTGGGGTTATGCAGGCGTGGGGAAGTCATGCCTGCTCCTGCAATTCACGGATAAGAGGTTTCAACCTGTCCATGATTTGACAATTGGTGTTGAGTTTGGGGCTCGGATGATCACCATTGATAACAAACCTATCAAGCTCCAAATATGGGACACGGTTGGTTCCTTGTTTTCCTTATTTTCCTCTATTTCCCCCTCTCTCTGTCTCTCTGGGATTGTAGTAGTTTATGATGTTTGATAATATTGAAGTTTGTTGAATTGGTGTGCGAACTCTGAATTGGATTCTTCCTCTCTGAACTATAATCTCTTCTCTCTCTCTTTCTCTGTACTATTGACAGATTCTTTCTCTCTCAACTATAAGAGTTTCTGCAGTATTTGTTGATGTTCTAGCATGTTCTAGCCCTTGGTGCCCTTGGTTTATTAAAACTTTCAGTTCCTTGATATTTTCTTTTGGATTTTCAATTGAATTTGTTTTGTTACAAATTAGAAGAAATGTTGTTTGTATGAAGCTTTATTATGGTTCTCTAAATCATCTTCTCTTCATGGTGAGGAATTTATCGAGGGGTTGTGGCACATGAGATAAAAAAAGTCCTCGTAAATATTCCAAGTGTTATGATGAAAAAAGGTGTTTCCATGTCTGTTTGGTGTTCCTTTTCCAGGACTGGGTTTGCTAGTTGGTTGGCCCTCATACCTGCAAATTCTTTGAGTTTATGATATCTTATATATGAATTAGATAACATGCACTAGGTTTGCCTCAGATGATTGCTAGTGTTCATCTTGGAATGTGTGTTATTTATTTTTAATGATTATCTGTAGTATAGATCTGTATCACAGGAATATGTTGGGAAACCTTAATATAGATTTCTTTGATAAGTAGAAAATCAAAGACGACTGCTTCTTTGGACACATTTGTAATCATTTATTAGTTAAAGTTGGAATCACTGATAACATGACTATTGCTCACTGTTTTATAGCTGGTTCAATAGTGTGATTATGTCAATGTTAGAGCATGGCTTTTTTTTCTTGTTCATCTCCCTTGGTCTATATGAGATCAAAATCATTTTCATCCACGAGATAAACTCATCAACATCATCCGAGCCTTATCCCAACTATTTGGGGTCGGCTAGGCTTGAGATAAAATACCCAAAAAAAGAATATTAAAAATATGAAAGAAGTTCCATGGGCACCTCTCCATACGAGTCAACCACATCACAACATCCAAAGTATCAAACTCTAGATGGTAGATGGTTTCAAGTAAGGTCTTATGACCCAATAGCTGTCTTCGTCACAACCATCAAAATGTGCTTGAAGAGTCCATCCATAGCATTCTTGAAGTTTCAATATCCTTAGGAATCTCATTCTGAGGTTAGCTTTTTTGGGCTTTTTGTCACAAACTTCAAGGCTCCAGCCGATGTGCATGACATCTGCTCTGGCTTGGGACTTGGCCCCTGCGTGAGCCGAGTAGCTCGGGCGAGTCCTCGAGTCATCTACAAGCCCAAAAGGACTAGCAATTTAAAAACATTACATCAAATTTGTAAAAAAAAAAGGAAAGGAAAAAAAAGACTGAATTACAAATAACAAATGGAAGAAATCATAAAAGATTGGTTTTGAAAGAAATTGATATATAGCTGGAAAAAATACAGGCAAATCCAAAAAAGGAGAGTATAGAATAAATAGAGCATACGATTATAAAACTCACAAATCATCATCAAAAAGTCAAAATTGTGTGAACATGTTATATATTATATATATTTATATTGATGTAGTAAAAATTTTATTTTTTATTGGTTTTTTTATGTCTGCACTTGTACCTAGGATGGCAAGGTGCCGAGTCCGAGTAACTTGGCCGAGTCCAAGTCGACTAGGCTGACTTTTAAAACCTTGGTTATCCCGTGACCTTACTCACCCAAACTAATATATCTAACATTAAGCGGAAGTCAAAGGGACAAATATCCCAATTTTCTCTTATTGACTGACAAGTATCTCCAATTTCTCTTTAATAGGTACCCAGTGAAAGGGCCATGATCCTCGAAGTGATTAACATCATAGACCTTAACGTTCATAGTGTTCTCTACTTGTCTATTCCCACTTAAATATCCTTCATTTTTCTCCATCCATGATCCACAACATTGATGAAAA